TATAAATAATATAATAATAATTGCTTATTGATAATAATCAATGCTTCTTGGAGCAGAAAATCAGCATATTACAGTGATTTAAGAAGGACCATGTGACACTGAAGACTGAAATAATGGTTGCTGTTTTATCCATCACAGGAATAAATTACATTTTAAAATAGAAAACAGTTCTTTTAAATTGTAATAATATTTCATACTATTACTCGTTTACTATACTTTTGATCATATAAATGAAGCATTGGTACCCTTTAATAAGACTTCTATCAAAAACATTTTTAAAAATCTCACTGACACCAAACTTTTGGTATGGTGGTGCATGTTGGTATGGACTCTGTTTACTGTGGTAACTTTTCTAGGGGTTATGCAACAGACTGTCCCACTCACCTGTCACTGTTCCATGTTCATCACTGATGTAGTGTCCAAATGCCTCCCAGAAGTCCTTGTCTTCTGATTGGTGTAGACAGTATATCGTGACCTCTTGATTTGGCAGTAAATTCATTATGACAATCTGAAACTTCTCGTCCAACAGCCCTCGACAGGGCTGGACAGAGAGCAGTGGACATGTCCCTTTCTCAGTGCCCACAGTCCTAAACAGAATTAAACGAGACATTGAAAAGTGTATGAACAATGTCACGTATTCTCTTTTAAACTGCATTGTTGTGTAGAATAGAATGGAATGATCTTTATTGTCATTATACACAGGTACAAAGCACCTCTATTTGGCTTGTCCCTGTAATTAAATAAGAAAAACTAAAGAAAAGCAATGCAGCACATTTTGATCAGCTGCGTCTCCTTGAGGTGACTTTAGTGCTCAATGTTTAGTCATTACTCGTGTCTTTATTGAGTGTGTGTGCATGTCTGTGTTTACATGAGTATGTGTGTGTGTGATATTTAAAAGAGATCTCAGTTTCTTCTCGCTGCTTTCAATGTCCTGACCACATTTATAATAGCTCTGTGGTGCTTTTCCATCATTTTTTTAAACTTTACATATTCAGTTAGCATTTATTGTCATGGAAAGGAAATGTCTCACTTGATAAAAAGGTAAGTAAATTATATTAACTTTGATAGCTCACCACATCATGGTATTTTTTTTATTTCCACAGCAGCTGTTAATAAAGTTGTTACTTGTTATTAGCCTCAACGGTCTTGAAAAAAGTTAGGCAAAAAGTAGGTACCACGTTAATTTATGGTTTTTGCCTGAGGAAATGTCTGTAACTTACCTAACAGGTGCCAACATGGTATAGTCCGACTCCGATCAGGTGTTCTTGCTTCTGTGATGGGTTTCCGATGATCCGAACAGCGTATGTACAAAAATAATGTCTGAAATAACATAAACAACATACAAAAACAATAGCTGATAAATAGCAGCGATGGTTTTTACCCGAAACTTCACATGTTACCACACAGGAAAACCAGAGTTCACACCATCCATGCTAACGTACATCAACAAACGTAGTTTGTGCTCGGTGGTGTTTTAGTGAGACCCACCTGGAAGTGGTTTAATCAAAATGTTTTAAATCTTAAAAAAAAAACGTGTTAATAATACGAATATAGATGGAATATATATGATCTATATAAACGTTAACTAAGTTATAAGACTGTTGTCCAAATCCTTGGTTGAGTGAGAGAGCAGCTCGTGGGTACTGATGACGAAATGTTAACGTTACCTTTGAAACAGATGTTTCTGCGCTTAAATAACGTTACATCACCAAAGGTCGCTTTGAACTATTTTAGAGGGCATAACGTAGATTTTCTATTTAAATACTTTTTACTCAGATAAATTCTAAAATCGTAATTTAGCATGTTGAAGGGTAGACGCATCCCAGCTCCACCAAACACATTATGGACCATAAAGAAAACACGTCTAACGTCTACGTCTATAATCTGCACAAAAACGACAACATGAGACGTTCAGTTCATACCACAAGAAAGCCATTCCACTCTCCACGTGTATTTTTGTCCAGTCCAGTTTTTCTATGTCTCATCCGTCCAACGTCCATACGCAACAAAGCATTACGCAACTGCAAGGATGCCAGATTGGGCGTAAACCCATAGACAGTAAAAGAAATGGACAGAGTGATCTCATTGGAGCTTAGGGTTCCCTATGTATGTCTGATAAAAAACCGAGGCATATAAATGGCGGCGGGGGCGGGGGCTATTGTGGCTACTATAACATAGTGTGTTTGATATGGGATTAAAATGATGGGCAGTGTATGAGATATAATTATGTCAATATTCCTTTGTTCCGATCAAAGCATGTGAGCGAAGGGCGCATTTCTGAAGATTCCTCGGCTCGCTCATTCCGCTCAGGGTCGCGCGCTCCACCCTGCTTCCTACTAAAGGTTTTTTCTAGTTGACTATCAGTTGCTTATTTAAGCCATTAGTGGACAAATCGCCCCTTTATATAATTGATTTAATAAATAAATAGGCTATACAGGATAATGATAAAGCCGCACTCAAGCGCACGAGCCGGCAAAAGTGAATGTGTAAAAAATAGCAAGGAGGCATTTAATTGTTTATTAATAAACTGGTGTTTTCTGCATCGCTGCAAAGATAAAGATGCGATGCGGACTCGCCATGAACGAATAAAGGTATTAAGACATGGAAAAGTTCCTCCCGTTGGCGCGCCCCTCGGGTGGGAAATAGAGACGTGACAGGTGGGGCGCGCCAACGGGATGAACTTTTCCCCACACTTTGAGCGGCCACTACCATCTGTAGTTAGGGGGCCCCCTAGTGACGGCGGGGACCTAAGCAGCCGCTTAGTTAGCTCATAGGAAGAGCCGGTGCACGCGGCCACGAACTACACAGTTTTGAACATACGTATTCACGCAGCCTTTTTCGAAAAACTGGGACATTCAGTGTCCCGGGAGAGTGCTTAAATTTCCCTGGACAGGTTAATAAAAAGAAGGACAATCCCGGTAAAACCGGGACAGGTGGCAACCCTATTGGAACTCCATTGAGACGATCGAAGCCCGTTTTTTTAGCACTTCCGTCCCTGACGCGCAGACTCAAACAGAGCTTGACTACGTAGTGGGACGTGAGTGACCCGTCTGTTTTCTAGTGCTGTGGCATGAGAAATCTGAATCATTCCCTTCCGAAACATGCAGAGACGGAGAGTGTGAATAGGAGCTGTCCATGAGCTAGGAGAAGGAGACAACTTTGCTAGGTATTCTGATTAATTATTTTGTCATTTTGCCTCCACGTTTCCCCGATTGCTCGCGAGCTTCTTCTCATGTCCATATGGTAATCTCTCTACTGTGCGACAGAGAGTCGCGTGGGTATGACGCAATCGTTAGCCTACTTTCACTAAAACTGCTTTTACGGGGCCATAAGCTACAAGGTAATGGAGCTATTATACATTGTCGTGTTTCTTTAGAAATAAATAAAGGACAAATGGGGTCTTCAAACCCCTCAGATGTAAAGTTATTCGCTGTCAAAGTGACGCCAAAATGAATGGGAGTCAATGGGAATGCTAACGCAAGTGAAGTTCTGCTACAAGATGTCAGCTCCCGCGAGGCTTCAACTTCCGGTCAATGGATTACCCCCTTGCGTAAACCCGCTCAATTGCGCTATTTGTTTGAGCAGTGCTTGCTAGGGAAAGTTATGGCTCGTTTCCACTGAGTGGTACGGTACGGTACAGTTCGGTTCGGTACGCAATTATTTGCGTGTCCACTGTCAAAAGTTGTGAATGGTACCAAAAAGCCGTACCGTACCGTACCACTTTTGGCTCGTTTCCACTGAGGGGTACGGTACAGTACAGTACGGGTCAAGTCTGGTACACCATGATCAGGCTTGCGTTTCCCCTTACTTGATAGGCGTGGTATGCTGGAAAGAAGCGATCGACGTCATTTTCGCGCGAAGAAAGCGACATAGTAAACAACAATGGATGACAGACAGCAGATCTTGTTCTTGCTTCTCGGCATATTTGTCACTAGAAACAAGCGCTGGCATTAGGCGTTTCCAAGAAGCCAACGCAAAGTCTGACTCAGGAGAATGATATAGGACGCGATTAGTAATTCTGGAACTGCGTGTTCTTGAACGCGGCACTCTGCTCGCTCTGGCTATGCGACTCCGGTTATCTCTGTAGCCTATGTTCATTGATTTTAGGCAACAATAAAACGAAATACTGTATGTTATAAAACACCACTCTGCTTCTTTTCGATTTCATTTCAATACATTTTAAACATTCTAAAGCACACAAATGTGGTTCAGGCAACGCATAGCCTATTGATTATATTCACTGCATGCAGCCTATGTAACGTTATATTTATAACAAAACTAAATATAAAACAACCCTGCCTCTTTTCGTTTAAATTTAAAAATATTAAAGGAACACTCCGACTTTTTGGGACTTTAGCCTATTCACCTTACCCCCCAGAGTTAGATAAGTCCATACATACCTTTTTCATCTCCGTGCGTGCTATAAGTCTGTTTGACGCACCCACCGCTAGCCTAGCTTAGCACAAAGACTCGATGTGACTGGTTGCAGCTTTCATACTGATCCAAATGAGTGGCAAAATAACGCAAACGTTTTCCTATTTACATGTTGTGATTTGTATAGTCACATAATGTACAAATAACAAAGTCAAATGAGACACAGACATCTTTTAACCGTATAAAACCTGGGAACTATTCTCTGAAGGCGAAGCACTGCTACTTTGACGGCGTAATAACCGCATCACCGGAGACACGCCGTGGTGAGGAGCGGAGAGTTCGCTCGGTGTTTGGGTAATAGAGTCAGCAATTTTATAAATAGTAAAAGCGTAGTTTAGAGTCATGGGTTTTCGCTCTATTGTAAATAGCTGCGACTGTAAACAGGGGAGGTAATACCATGTTTCACAGAATTCCAACTAAAAACGCTGACTGGATGAAGAAATGGCTAACTTACTCTGGATATTTATCCAAACACACCTAAGATTATCAAGGGAAATGATGTTTGCTCGGTACATTTCAATGGACGACTATTTTGAAAAAATGGAATTTGCCACACGGACCATAATGTGCTGAAGGATACGGCCATCCCATCGATAGCACATGTTACGTGGGTGCTTAGACAGACCACAACGTACTAGAACATTTTTATAGATACTTCTTTTATTATCAAAAAACTCTAAGATCAGGTTTTAAAATCCATCCACTTCAGGAAAAGCAAACAACATAACTTCTTTAAAGGAAGAAAACCAAAGAAAACTCAAAATAAATCCACTCTACATAATCAAATCAATCCAAAAAATTATAGGACAAATTAAATCAAAACCGAGGCAATCTGTTCACAACACACCAAAATAAATCAATTCACATATCATAATACAAAAAATAATATACACGTTTAAATGAATAAACACTTCATACCTTTAAACCCATACTTTCATGCTCCGGCCGCTCTGGTTACCGGGGTTCCCGGGAGCGCTCGACGTCTACAAACACACACACACTTAAAACACCTGCACACTATCACCCGAAACCCCCCACTATCCTATCCTACTCACCCAATTCTTTCTCAGCGCCGTGTTTGTGTGGCGTCTTCCCTGCATGAGTTTGGTGCATCACTTAAATAAGTCCGTGTTTGTCCCCTTAAATATGTGCAGTTCCTCCCCCCACCCCGGTTAACCAGAGCTCAATCCCACATCCACCCCTCACTTGTCAAATCATCGTCCCGATGATTCATTATGTGCATTTTTTAACAACATTAAAAAAAACAACATTAACCACTGCTCCTGATTCTTTTTAGTTCATGCATCACTTGCAGCAAAAGATCTAAAACTGTCTCAATTGCCCCAATTTCACTAGACGGGGGTCTTACGCCACAACTTAGCACTGTGGGGATTGCTGCAGCTTCCATACCCTGCACCGATCGTGGCTCCCTAAAGGGATTACTATGCTGTCCTGCTCTGGTCCTCTGAGAGCGTCGAACAGTAGAGTCTGTGCTAGTGAGTATCGATTTCTCATCATCTCTGGAAACCACCTCCTCTGCACTCACTTCCCTTTCCACTCCAGAAGACAGGTTTTCTTGTACCACCAGTCGAAGCTCTTCCCAATCCTCCTCAGACTCAGACGGTGCCGTGCTTGTGCCGGAGTCTATCCCTTGATACTCTCTTGACCGTACAGGCTCCTTCTGCAGAGGTCCGCAACGACGTAGCTCCGACCGATGCACATTCTTTGGTAGACGTGATTGATCCACAGGAACTACCTTATACACCGCTTTATCTGGGTCCACTCTTTCCAGCACACAGTGAGGTAAATCCTCCCAAACATCCTGAATTTTATTCCTTCCTCTAACTCTGCGATTACGCAGATAAACCAAATCTCCTGGATTCAGACTGGCATCTTTGCTCACTCCTTGTTTCCTTTGTCTCTGCTTGGCCAATTTCTGCAACCGTCTCTGTGTCAGCCTATAAGCCTGTTGCAGTTTGTGCTGATGTTCAATCACCCAGGTCTCCACCATGCCTTCTTTTTTTTCTACTGTACCACCCCTCAAATAATGGTCAATTGGGAGATCTGGGCTCCTGCCAAACATTAAAAAGAATGGGGAAAATCCAGTCGTAGCATTTTCAGTAGTATTATATGCAAACAACACTTCATGCAAATACTCATCCCATCTCTTTTTCTTTTCAGAAGGAAGGGCCCTGAGGAGATCATGTAAAGTTCTATTAAAACGTTCACACTGCCCATTGCCTTGGGGGTGAAATGCTGTTGTCCTGCTCTTCTGTATGCCATACATACGACACAACTGCTGCACGACTTCAGCCTCGAAGCACCGTCCTTGGTCAGAATGAATCCGGGCTGGGACTCCATATCGATGAATCCACTCCTTGACCAGCACTTTTGCAACTGTTATGGCCCTCTGATCAACTGTCGGTACGGCTACTGTGAATTTAGAAAATACATCCGTTATGACAAGCACATTTTCTTTTCCACTCTGGGAACGTTCCAGCAACGTAAAATCCAATGCCACAACCTCCAAGGGTTTAGATGTTTGAATGCTGTTCATCGCTGTTTTTACCTTAGGCTGAACATCCTTCGACACAATACATCGCAGACAATGTTTGCAGAACTCCTGAACATCCTGGTACATCCCAGGCCAGTAAAACCGTTGACGTACCAGCTTGAATGTTCGGTCAATCCCCTGATGACCTTGATGGTCATGCAGCTGACCAAGGACTTCCTGCTTTAAAACTTGAGGCAAGAGAAGCTGTTTTACCCAGCCCCCTCTAGCATCTGCAATGACTCTATAAAAGACGCCTTCATGAGCTTCCACTTTATCCCACTGTCTTAACAGCTCCAGAACATCTTTTGACTCCTCTTTTCTTTCTTTCTTGTCTGGCCCTTCCCCCTTACTCCAGTAGAACTTGAGCCGGGAAATAACAGGATCCTCTTCTTGCCAGTTTTGTAGATCTTGCATCTGAAATTCAGGGAAAACGGAAATAACATCCACTGTAGTTAAAGATTGCGGTAGAATACTCCCATTGTCTCCATCCTCCAGTCCACTACCACCATTGAATGTGGACGTCACTCCCTCTGATACAGCCAGCTGTAGTCCTCCTACCGACTTTTGTCGAGACAAAGCGTCTGCATTTCCATTCTTCTTCCCAGGACGGTACACAATTTCAAAATCAAACATGGCCAACTGAGAAGCCCATCGCTGCTCCACAGCCCCCAATTTGGCCGTCTTCAAATGACTCAGAGGGTTATTATCTGTGAACACTGTAAACTTATTACCAATCAAATAGTCCCGAAATTTCTCCGTTACTGCCCATTTAAGGGCAAGAAACTCCAGCTTCATTGTACTGTAGTTATCCATATTACGTTCAGACTCCCTCAAACCCCTACTAGCATAGGCCACTGGCCTCCGCTTACCTCCCACGTCCTGGGAGATCACCGCTCCGAGTCCTGTATGACTGGCGTCTATTTCAAGAAAAAAAGGCTTTGTGAAATCAGCATAAGCTAATACAGGAGCAGATGTTAACTTCCTTTTTAGTATTTGAAAAGCTTCTTCACATTTGTCATCCCACTGCTGTCTGAATTGTTCACCAGTGAAATGTCTTCTTTTCTTTTGCTTCTTACCCTTTGGCATTTCCCCGATAGCTGCCAGCTGATGTAATGGTGCTGCAATTCTAGCGAATCCTTGCACAAAACGTCTGTAATAACTTGCAAATCCCAAGAAAGAGCGAAGCTCTTTTGCTGTCTGTGGTCTCGCCCATTCTGCTACTGCTTGAATCTTCTCAGGGTCTGTTGCCACCCCCTCACTAGAAATGACATGACCCAAATAACGTACTTCTTGTTGAAAAAAACAGCATTTACTGAGCTTAACTTTGAGACCATGGTGCTGAAATCGTTGTAAGACTTTCTCCAATCTCTCCAGATGTTGGTCCACTGTTGACGAAAACACAATCACATCATCCAAATACAAGAGCACTGACTGAAAACTTTCATCACTGAATATCCGTTCCATCAGACGTTGGAAAGTACTTGGCCCATTGGACAAACCATACGGTAAACGGTTATATTCAAACAGGCCAAACGGCGTACAAAAAGCAGTCTTTTGTTTATCCTTTTCTGCCACTGCCACTTGATTGTATCCGCTTGCCAGGTCCAGGGTGGAAAACCAACACGCTCCACTCAATGCATCTAATGATTCTTCAATTCTCGGCAGTGGGTATGAATCTCTTCTAGTTTTAGCATTCAACTGCCGATAATCCACACACATCCGGATTGAGCCATCCTTCTTCTTTACGATTACAATCGGTGAGGAATATGGGCTGCAGCTCTCCCTGATTACATTCTGCTCTAAAAGTGATTTAATATGAGCTTTAACCTCCTCATATTGAGTAGGGGGCAACCTTCTATACCTCTGGCAAACTGGAGTGTCGTCTAACAATGGGATGTGATGTTCAATCAAATCAGTATACCCTACATCCTCACTCCCTTCAACAAACACAGAGGAATATTTATCCAACAACCTCCTGGCCTTTCCTTCCTGCTCCGCATTCAACAGAGGAAAATTAAGGGTCTGAACTTGTTGAGCGGCTGTTACCCCTGACTGTGACACATTACTCTGCTCAATAAAAACTGTACAATTTTGTTCTTCCTGTACTGGAGTAAACTGAATATCAAAATCCCCCCCACTGACCACCACTTCGGCCCTGTGTACAGACGCTAATCGAACATGTGGGTACAAAATAACATCACTAGTCCCCACATTCATAATTGGGACCAGCAATTGTCCTTTATCTGGGGACACTATTGCACCTATAATAAAAAGGTCAGCTGGTAAACTCCCCTCACTCTCTATCAGAGGCTCCAAAAGCAAGGACTCATTTGGCATGAGTTTAGTGTACCCACTCGCTGCACAAACCAATTGAAGCGTACCTGCTGGCACCTTGACTGGATTTTGTGCCAACAGGTTCACAAAAGACTGGTTTTGTGTATCGTACAATTGACAGATTTCCAACGCTTTTTTCAAAGAAGCCTCACATTGCTGCATCATAGAACTTTTTAAATATTGAGACCCAAATTCTTGCTTCAAAAGGTCATGACAATTTTGAATTACATTCATACCAATTAAACCAGGAACCAGTTTCTTTCTCTCCCTTGTCTCAGTGTCAAATGTGTCTTTTACCACCAATACCCCCTGTTTCGGAAGGATTTGGTCAAGGATATTAATGTCTAATTCTAGATAACCCACATATGGGATATCAAGGCCGTTTGCTGCTTTTAACACCAACCACCCACACTCCTTCAATGCATCTACATCCTTTCCTGCAATGTGCTGTTTAAAAAAACTCTCAGTTATCATGGAAACCATAGAACCAGTGTCAATCAAACTATTTATTTTCACACCCCCCATCTTCACAACAGTGACTGGACATTGACCCACTAATTTTTTAAGGATTTCTGGGCTAGTTCCTTGAACCACAGAGCCAGGTAACCCCTCACTTACTGTGTGGCTCTCCACAGCAAAGGGGGTTAGTTTAACAGCCCAGGCTTTTGAGCTTGGGGATTGGGTACATCATCCGTAGGATATCTCTGCTGCCCCCATACTTGACTGGGGTTCACAATCTCACTACAATAACGCCCAATATGTCCCACTTTCTGACACTTAAAACAAATAGGCTGTCCCGAGGGATCAAAGGAATACGATCTTCGTGGCACTCCCCGCTGCTGCCTATTAAAGGCTTGCAAATTGGACATTTGCTCAGTTAAATCACTTAATTGCTTTTGCTGGCTTTTCACCATACCAAACAGCTCTACTAACATTGGATCTGTACTCTGTTTTGCCATCACTGCTTCACTATCTATAGTACTGAGATTCTCACACCCAAACGATGTCTCCGAAACCCTCAACCCCTCACCAGCCCACTCAACAGCTTCTTTCCGGACATCAAGAAATGTTAAGCTTGGTTTCTGTCTAATCATTCTTTTTAACTCTCTACAGAGTTCTTTACTTCTCACATTCTCTGCAAATTGATCCCTAAGCATTACATCCTCTTCCGACACACCCTTTGGGTTACAACTTTTTAGTTCTTTTAACAAAGCCATTAATGCATGCGAGAACTCAATTAGTGTTTCAGTTTTTCCTTGT